GTGGGTGAGCAATGACAAAGAACTTAGGCACAAACTTCCGGTAGTAAGAAGCCAAACCAAGAAAAGAACGCAGCTCGCGTACATTCGCCGGTTAAGGCCAGTTGCGGATGACCTCAACCTTGGTTGCCTCCGGCTCAAGACCGCTTGCAGACATCTGGTGCCCAAGGTAGATAACGCTGTCCCTGCCAAACTCAGATTTCTCCAAGTTGAGGTGCAGTTGAGCATCTTTGAGGACTTGCAAGACCTCCTCGAGATGCTTGACGTGCTTCTCCATGGACCTGCTGAAAATCAGAATGTCATCAAGATACACAACCACAAACCTGTTAAGTTGGTGGCGGAGTACCTTGTCCATGAGGGACTGAAATGTGGCTGGTGCGTTCGTAAGGCCGAAGGGCATAACGATGAATTCGTACAGCCCATTACGTGTCTTGAACGCAGTTTTGTGCTGGTCGCTCGGATCAACTTCAATCTGGTGGTAGCCAGACTTGAGATCGATCTTGGAGAAGACTTTGCATCCACCGGCCGCATCCAACAGATCATCTATACGAGGCAAAGGGTAGGCATTATTCCTTGTGATTCGGTTCAAACCACGATAATCAATGCACATCCGGAGTTTGCCTCCTTTCTTCGGCACAAACAAAACAGGTGCGTCGAACTCAGACTCGCTAGGCCTAATCCATCCACGATCAATCATGTCATCAATTTGTCTCCGCAGCTCCTCCAACTCGCCTTGTCCCATACGGTAGACGCAGCCCTTTGGAGGAACACTTCCCTCTATTATCTCGATTTTGTGCTTGACTGGACACTCGGGAACTCCGCGGGGTTCAGCCAATACCTCAGGAAATCGATCTAACAGATGGCGAATGTTCGCTGGGATTTCTGGTGGAGGATCATCCTCATCAAGGGAGAGAAAGTCAGATTGGGAATTTACAACAATTACAACCGGTTTCGAAATATTTGGTTCTGCACTAGATCGATCATTTACAGCAGAAGTAGGTGGAACAAAAGTAGAAGTAGTAGAGGTAGAGTTACCTTCAGAGGTAGAAAGTGCAGCAAAAGTAGAAGGCACATGGAAAGGCTTTACAAGAGCTATATGTACAAACCCAGCTTCCTTGCGCCTGCGCACTGACCTGCAGAATTTGTTAGCACTTAGAAGAGTCACAGGGGACTCGCGCGTCTCATCTAGTAAGACGGTACGCTCGTTCCCCTTGGCATCAAGTACCACGAACTGATTGTCCGCCCACGTGGTCCGTAGGCAATGGGCCTTTAGCCAGCCCAAGCCAATGACCGCGTCGAAAGGACACATGTCCAAGACATAAAAATTCAGCTCGTGTGTGACAGTGCGGTCTTTGTCAAAGGTCATGCGCACACCTTTGACAGCATGAGTGGAAGTGACAACCTCTTGGTTGCCCACCTGAGTCCGGCAAGGGTTCTGCAGTTCCACTTGCTTCATACCCAGGCCCGCCTTACGAATCCCGTTCGAAGAGAAGAAGTTAGTGGTCAAACCACTGTCAATCAGCACGCAGATGTATCGGCGGTTAATGAGCAGTTTAAAGAAAGTCAGCTCCACGCTCCCTTGGGCACGGCGTTGCTGCTTGAGCTGCAGCCAATGCTCCATGTGGGCGTGGAAGTCGACCTCTTTAGACTACTCCCAAGGCTCAGTGTATAACACTTGGACTGTCTCAGCCTTGGAATCAGCGTTAGTTTGGGCTTCAAGAGCACGTTGCTGATCAGATCCAAGCTCCTCGGAGGGGTCTGCAACCGACTGCTCAGCTTCTCTTGTTGTAGAGAGTGTTGATGTCTCCTCTACGCCCCTTGCCTGTTTCCCTGAAGACGATAGCAATCCTGCACAGCATGCCTAGGCTTTGAACAATGCAAGCATATGCGCAGTTTGGACCTTCTTTCCCATTCTTTTTGGCTGATGCGGAGGGTTTCCCAAGGATTGGTAGAAGCGTCCTCCGGTTTTTCAGGGATCTTAGCATTTTTGGGAAGGTGAAGACAGTTCCCTTACCCGAACCGCGGTTAGGCCCCTTATTCGAAGCAGTCTTTCTAAATGCATTAAGTTTTTCATCATCATTTCGGTCACACTCAATGGCTGATGTGGAACAGCCCGTATCGAAGTCCGGCTCTAGATCGTCATCTAGAGGCAGATCATCCGCATAGGACTGATCGTCAGCCTCCCGATGATCATGCAGTGCAAGCTGGTTGCTGCCTCCACCCCGCTTGCGTTGTGGTTTCCCACCTGCAGCGGGCGCCTTCTTGCGCCTGGCGAGGTCCTTGGCCTCTAGGTCGACTAGGTCCTTCATGAACTCTCGCCAGGTAGCATGGTCCTTGAGTGCTAGCAGGGAGAGGTATTCTTTAGGGGCCACTCCCATGACTACATCCATGCAAGACACGTCAGTCATTCCTAGATCCGGAGTGGTGAATAGACCAGTCAGGTGCTGTTCCAAAGCCTGCATGGATGACCTCCATGTTTGGCCCTTGAGGGCCTCAAGCTTCAGTCTAGCCTTGAGCGCAGCATGTTTATCCTAATACCGGTCAAGGAGAAGATCCTCAAGGGTGCAAACTGGGGTGACCTTCAACCAATCAGTCAGGTCTATGCGTGCATAGCCTGCAGCAACAGCTTGGAGCTCAATGTGGTTTCGTACGGCAGGCTCGATATTAGTTCCCATGATCATACTTCGGTCCTCTTGCGGTGTCCGCATGACCTCGAAGTATGACCGCATGGAACTAATCCAAGAGGTGATGTCAGCCTTCCCGTCGTACTTGGATGGCAGCGTGGCCGCCCGCTTGTCCACCATGGGACCACTGTACTGAACGCCAGTAAGGACTGTGGCGTTTTGGGCTGAAGTCCCTGACTGCGATCAGTGCAGAACTACCGGTGCTGCCGCTTGAGGAGCTTGCTCCGGTTCCTGCACTTACCGCAGTTCCGCTGGCCCTTGGAACGAGGGTTGTGTTGGGCTGAGAGACTGGGATTACTGCAGATCGAGGGTTAGGAGGGCGGGGCAGACAACTGGGACTGTTCAAGGCTAATTACCTTAGCCTGCAGCTCTTCGTTCCGCTGCTCAAGTGCTGTCATACGAGACTCAAAGTCTTCCAAGGTCCGCAGTCGGACCAAGGCTGCTACAGCAGCAGCTAGTTCCTCCCGGAACCGGTCAACATTAGCTTCCGGGATCCGGAGGAGAGCCACCTGATCAGCAATGTCGGCGGCTCTAGCTGCTGCCGCTGCCTCCCTTTCTCTCTGCACGGCATCATCATACAGTTTTTGAAAGAATGGTTTCTGGCTCTCGTCCGCTATATCCATCATGGCCTGCCATTGGGCAGATGTGATGTTCGCCATGCCGGAGGAAGGGGTGTCAGTAGAACTCTCAAGAGGGGTCCGCTCTCTCCTGACGTTTGGACGAACACTCCTCTTGCCCCTTCTCACACTCTCAAACAGCACACCTTCTCTCTCCCTTTCCTCTCTTTTCGCTGTCTGCGCACGCGTCTCAATATCGGACATAGATAATTCAGGTAGAAGAAACAAACAGGAAACCACTCAAAGAAGAAGGTAGAACTCCTGGCCGGAGCGGCGAATCATTTGGACTGAGAGAACGTGGCACGCAGCAAAAGAATAGATAAAAATAAATAAAACAAAACAGCAGAGAGGTCTGATTTATAGAACGGGCCCGATCAGATCAGCTGGAGATCCCCTCTTGTCTAACCTGACAGGGGACATGTCAACACAATAAATCAGACGAAGAAGACTAATCTGCAGCAATGGAGATTTCGAGGGGTGCAGATGGTCGCCGAATCAGACGCGAGGCGGTATGTGCTAACCTGCGGTAAGGCCAGTCAAGATCCCCTTGAAAGGAATGCCCTTGCTGTCCGTGTGTCCCCCAACTCTAGCACAGCAAAGAACCGCACCAGCGGCAACAGATTTGGGCCCAAAAGGTCCTGTCCCGTTGGGCCTGGTCCCACTGGGTCCCGAGGGGTCCCAAAAAGGCCGTGGACCAGGACCAACGTGATAGGGGTGCCAAGTCGGTCCCAAACTGCCTCTACCGTACTGAAAAGGAAAAGACAACTTTCAGCAAGAACTCACTTCTGCAACCGTTCAGAAATGAAAAGACAATGCACCGTAGAAAGATATGTCATTTAGAGTAGATACATCATCCATCCATCCATCAGGTGAGAAAGCAA